TGTGTGTGTGTGTGTGTGTGTGTGTGTGTGTGTGTGTGTGTGTGTGTGAGAGAGAGAGAGAGAGAGAGAGAGAGGCAGAGAGAGACAGAGACAGAGAGATTGTGATGGCTAAGCATGGGATGTGGAAGACCAAGGTGTGGGTAACTGGGGTATCCGTTTGGGCCATGGACCCATCATGCTCATCAGACCTTGAATGGCCACCCTTGTGGAAGGGATGACAGGGCAAGGGGGGCATCTGAGCCAGGGAGTAGGGTGTTGCAGCCTGAGGGAGAGAAGGATGTTTATGTGGGAGCATGGTGGTAGAGGCTCAGCATGGGATGTCAGAACTCAAATAGGATCCAGAAGAATCCATGTGAGAAGGGAGGCAGTAGTTGTGGCCCAGTGCTGGTGTATTGGATCCTGAGGTAAGGAAGGCATTTGTGTGAGGGGTTGGACAGTAGAGACCCAGCCCTGGATGTCTGTGTCGGGGAGAGGAGGGAGGGCATCTGGGTAGGGAAGGAGGCAGGGATGGCAATAGAAGAGTGGTTCCATACAAATAACCAAATATAAAAAGAAAATACAGGCAAGTTTTTTCACTTTTGTAGGATGATGTCACAGATATGTAGAGGGAGAAAACTAGAATAATTTCTATGTTGGATTGGAATAGGAGTCATTGGTATGAACCCATGGTTTTCAATATGGGAAGATGGATATAGAAATAAATAGATATGTGAAGTGCCTATTGTGGTTCCATGTGTGTATTATATATTATCTGGCTCCACTGACTGAAAGGGCCTGGCATAAGCAATACTAAGGAGCAGTGAGCACACGTGGTGCCCAGATCTTGGTTTCTAAATACCATTGTCCACTAAAAGAAACCAGGACTCATTGAAGAAATAACCTGATTCTGGGGCTGAGGCAGGGAAAGTATAAGATGAACCTGAAATATCTTTTGTGCCAAAAAGTAAGAAATTGCTAAAAACATGATGGGAACATGTCAGAAGGGCACAAAAGCAGTAAGAGGACTCCCACTAGTCATATCTGGAACAGGCTGAACATCAAAACGAATTAGGATAGTAAAGGATTATAGTACACTGAATAAAACAGGAAACCATGGACCCATGGTAATAAAATTAAGTAAATGGATACATTGAAAGTTTGAGGAATGGGATATTTACATAAAGTGTCAATCCACAAAATGGTTATCTACTGCAAAGAGAAAGAGTAATGTTACTGTAGAGATATCAAATGAATTAATCAGTTGATGAAAGCAAACGTCATGAGTAAAGGGATATTGAAATCAGACATTAGACAGAACATTAGACAACTGAAAGTTATTCTACAAAATGAGTGGTCTCATTGTCAAGGCTGTACAAATCTAGAAAAGACTGAGGAACTGTTCCAGACTGAGGATGAGTAGAGGGTTATAACTACTAACTGCAACATGTGATTCTGAAGTGGATTGTTTGCTGTCAAGTATATTATTGGCACAGTTGGCAAAACTTGAGGATGAGGTGGTAATTCTGCATCTCAGTGTTAATCTCCTCTTTATTATGATTCTCTTAGTTTGTTTTCTGCTGCTATAACAGAATACCACAGACTGGGTAATTTATAAAGAAAAGAGATATATTTGGCTCACAGTTCTGGAGGCTGGGAAGTCCAAGAGCCTGGTGCTGGCATCTTGTGAGGACCTTCTTGCTGGGTCATAACATGCAGCACTCAAGACAAGAGACACAAGATGGGGCCAAATTTATCCTTTATCAGAAGCCCACTCTCACAATAATGGCATTAATTCATGACATAATCACATCTTAAAGGTCCTGCCTCTTAATACTGTTACAATGATAATTAAATTGTCAGCACATGAACTTTTAGGGGGAAACATTTAAACCACAGCAATGATTAATTGTGGTGATTTAGGAGAATGCCCTTGTTTGTATCTGTGGATGGTGGGGCATAATCTTGGCAGCTTATTCTCAAATAGGTCAGGAAATAATAAAGGTTTTTTTTTTTTTTTTTTTTTTTTTTACCAGTTTCTACAACTGTTCAGTAAGTTTGAGATTGTTTCAGAGCAAAACTAAGCACATACACACACACACACACACACACACACACACACACACGTTCATCTCTCTCCTCTCTTAGAAGCTTGTTTGATTTGTCAGAGCTCAGACTGAAACAAGCTTGTAGTCTGGGTACATCTTCTTTTTCCTCTCCTTAAATTCACTACTTTAAGAAAGCTGTAGTGAAGCCAGGAGGGCTCTGGAGCCTGCATTTCACCCCATAGCTGTGCAACTTACTAACGGGCTGATTTGAGACAAGTTGCTTCACCTTTTGGAGCCTCAGTTTTCACATTTTTGAAGTGGGTAGTTGGGAGGATCACATAGAGGATGAATAGATACAAATATACACTTATCAGTATTATATTAGCACAAATAATTACACAGGGTGGGAGAAATAGCATTTGGATAATTCTGTGAGCAGTATTCTTTTGAGCATTTTAGAGGTGAATCCATTTTCAATCAAATAATTTGTATTGCTTTGTATGTCATTATGTTGCTCAATTTCACGAATTAGAATGCATAGCCACCATCCTATATTGCATGCTGTTGTACTTAGTTCATTTCTAACTTTCCATAATTGGAGGCTGCCATGTGTACCCACTGAACACTCAATAAAATTAATTGAGGGTAATGATGATGAAGACAAGATCTATAGTGTCATCGTTATTTCTCCAACCACCCCCGCCCTGTAAGCTAGGATTGTTTGCATTTAAAAGTTGTTGCTATGGAGTTTAGGGGATAGATTTGCTGAGAGCTTATGGTATATGATCCATAAAAGGCGGTCATGGTAGGTGTCTCACTGAGTAGAAAATGTCAAACTTGGTGTAGGAGGATCTATTTGGCTCTTATGTTTGAGGCATACGCAGAGTCTTTTGTCAAACCCTATGTGAATATCAAACCTATTTCTGTACTGGGGCCAGCATCTCCCCAACCCCCTCAGTCATGTGTGCCCAGACCTCCCTGCAGGTATCTTACTAAGGGCTGAGCCTTGCTTTTGTTACTTAGGCCTTTTATTTCTTTCAGGAAAATCAGTGGAATGAGCTTCTTGAAACTCTGCACAAACTTCCCATCCCTGACCCAGGAGTGTCTGTTCATCTCAGCGTGGTAAGTGGGGCAGAGTATTAGCCATCACTGAGAACGCATTTCATTATTGACAGTAAGAAGGAGGTAGCTGAACAGGATTATATTTTGTCACCTTTACCTACCCTACCCCTACCCCCAAATACTCTGACACCTCTGAGCTCAAGATAGGCCAGGGAGCTGAATTTCTTCCTTTCTCTGAGATTCTATAAGAAACAGACACATCCTAAATGTCCCTAGGCTCCTCTGTAGCCATCATGCCATCACTGGCATCTCTTGGATCACAGATGCTGGGCTGAAATAGGATACCTGGCTCTGCCTGCTTCTTCAGTTCCCTGTCCCAGTCTCCCTGTATCACCCTTGCCCTGCAGCACTGCTGTGCGTGTCCCTTTGCTGAAGCCCATCCTGCACCCTCAGTTTTCAACATTTCCTCTCCCCTGTTTGCCAGGGTAACACATATTCATCCTTCAGAACTCAACTCTGATTTTATTTCCAGAGAAATCCTCCCTTGATACTTCATAGGTTTTGCCAAGTTTACCTCCTTCGCCCCAAGCATCTTGCATACTTTGTGGTACTTAGTTACACCCTATTGGCATGCTTCCTTTTCCTGTCCCCCTCACTGGACTGTGTGTCCCTTGAGGACAGAGAAGGAGAGTGCTTAGTGTTGTTCCTGGCCTACAGCAATAGTTTCTTTGAATGCCTATAAATATATGCTGCTACTACATGTTCTGCACTGTGCTCTGAAATACCAATTGGGAGATTTCCATCCTAGTCATTGTCTTGCCAATGACCTGAGTGACCTTAATCAGGACCTTTAACCTTGTGGGCTTCAATTTCCTCATCTGTCAGATAAGGCATCAGAAGAGGTGTAGGAGATCTTTTCCATATTTTGGTTCCAGAAATTCTCTAATTCCCTAGGTCAAACCCTCAAGCCCTTGTCACTACCTTCATCAGAATTCTCAGATGGATGTACTTTGACCAAGTATTGATTATTATCCAGGGGCTATTTCCCTTATGTCATGGGACCTGAGAATTTTAAGAGTTTTGTCTTTCATCTTCATTAGAACCTGGTACAGTGTTGGTATTCAGTGGTGGAAAGGTATCTCCTCTCCTAAAGAAAATTAATATCCCTTATAGGTTTTTTCAGAATGATGATAAAATTGAAAGCAGTGTTACTACCAGTAGTTAATAATAGATCTACTCTTTTAGTAAGTTCCTAATTTATACTAAGTATGTATCTCTAATATTCAAAACAAGTCTACAAAATAGATATTAACATTCCCATTTCATGGATGAGATTTCAAGAGGAAAAAATACTTGCCTTTCCAAGGTCGTGTGGTTAATAAGAGATAAGACTTGAGTTTTCAAAGCCAGGGCTAACTTCAAGCCTATGTTCTTCCCACTGTGCCATTCATGTGGAAGGAGAGGGAGAGAAGGAAGGAAGAAAGAAAAAAATGAATTTACAGAGACTTTTGCCCATTTTAATAGAGCATAGGAAAGAAAGAAACCTTGTTACAAAAATTCTCATACGGCAGGGGAGACCATCTGGAAAAGATGAACAAATGAGCTTTAAACCTGCCCCAGTCCTTGCTGTATAGCTAAGCAACCCTGCCTTTGTCTCTGTCCTGTTTCCTAAGCAGCTTGATCTCACCACTTCAGTCCATAATGACATCCGACAGGTAGCTGTGGAGTAGCCTGGCTGGGTCACCAGCTGCTGGGGAGGAAGGTCCACTCCTTCCTAAGAATGGCTGCTCAGGCAGTGTGCATGCCAGGCCTCAAGGACAAGCCATCTCAGGGGCAGCAGGAACTGCTGGGGTGGCGCAGCTGTTTCATGCCAGTGGTTTCTAGGAATGTTTCTGACCTCCCCTGGTCCCCAGCATTTCATGGGCAATGGAGCAAGACAGAATCTCAAAGGACAGCCTGGGGACTACTTGGTTTTGGAATTGTGTTGGCTCACTATTTACTATCAATTGCATCTATAAAGGCAGATATTTTTTTCTTTCCTTTTCACTGGGAATTCCTCTCTCCATATTGCGTTTCTGATTTTGAAGGGCCACTCTCATCCAGGTTATACATCCTGAAATGTTGATAACATGGTAATCCTGGACTTTTTGTCTCTAGTCACTCTCTGCAAGAGTATATTTCTATGTGTCTTATATGAGTGATGATAAAAATAGTAATATGAACTAGCAGTTCAGGGCAATAATAATTTTATATTAAAATACCATTTATTGAATGGTAGGCATTTCATATATATAACATTTATTCTTCACAACAGTTTTGAAGTAGATAATATTCCCATTTACAGATTCAAAAACAGGTTCTGCGCTATTAAGTGAATTTGCTGAGCTACATAATCACCACATGGCCATTTGTTACTGAACTAAACTTCTAGCCCTTTGGTATAGAAGTTGGTATCTCATGGAGTCATATTTGAACCTTGCATTTTACTTTTCCTGTTTTAATCCTCATTGTTGAATTAATCACTTACTAGTTTCCATGCTACACCATCTCTACTGAAATACTTCATAGGTAGTATTTTGATATACACACAGATTTTGGAATAATGCATCAAAGAAGGCTTTTTTAAAGTTATCTATTTTATACTTTTTATTTTTTACTTTTTTATTTGTTTAAATCCCTTTAGCTGTCATCTGTACATAAGAAGCACAGGTATAACAGTCTGTCATGGTGGAAAGAGCACAACTCTGGTTACACAGATTTAGTTTTGGTCCATATTCTGCCACACACTAGCTGCGTGACTTTTGACTGGCTACTTGACTTCTGTGAGCATTAATTTACCCATTTGTAATATGGAGATAATATCTATCTCAAAATTTGTTATGGGAATTAGAGATAACATTTACAGAGTACTAGACATAATGCCTTTCATGTAGCAGGTATTCAACAAATATCTGTTGAATATTGGACAAGTACCTTATACTATTATTGTTGTCATCATCATTATTATGATTGTCCCCAGGGCCTTTCATTTCAGAAAGCCTATACAACTCATTCTTCTAGACACCTACCTATTTTGCAATCACCCAAGAGTGGGGGTTGGGGTGGACAACTTCTTGAAATGTCACTTGGGGGTCCAGGTTTGAACCTAGGCCATGGCTAAGCTGACCTTCTCTGCATGTGACCTTTCCTGGCCTTTGCACAATCCCATCTTTAATTGGTCGGCACCAAGCTCTTTCCGTTCCTGCTTGCCATTGTCTTCTGAGTCTTTAATAGCAGCAAAGGGTGTCATCAGTTCAGCCTGTTGTCATTTAACTCAGGGATGCATGCTTGTTACATATGGAGATGCCTCATTGGAAGTTCTTTGAAGAGGTCAAGTTTTCAACTCCAGTGAGTCTCCAGTCAGGAGGCTTATGATGGAGTGGGCTTCGGGGGCAGAATTTCTCTACTCTTAGTCATCTGCAATGGTCTCAGTTCCAGTGCTCCAGCAACGAGCTCTTCCGAACATCACTTAGGCCTTTGGGGCAGATTTTGGTCACATTTTGTAGATGAATATAATCTCAGATGCTGAAATGAGATGACAGGTTTGGTTGGTAAAAATCATCACTCAGTGAATCTGGTGATATTTTGTTCCTAGAATACACTTGCCTTACTGAACGATAAATTATGAAACCAACGCCTTTCATGTGTTTAGCCATTTGACTTCTTTGAACTATTTATTTATTTATTTATTTAGAGAGAGTTTCGTTCTTGTCGCCCAGGCTAGAGTGCAGTGGCATGATCTCAGCTCACTGAAACCTCTGCCTCCTGAGTTCAAGTGATTCTCCTGCTTTAGCTTCCCGAGTATCTGGGATTACAGGTGCCCACCACCATGCCTGGCTAATTTTTTTGTATTTTCAATATAGGTGGGGTTTCACCATGTTGGCCAGGCTGGTCTCGAACTCCTGACCTCATGTGATCCACCTGCCTTGGCCTCCCAAAGTGCTGAGATTACAGGCATGAGCCAACACTCCTGGCCTGAACTCTTCATTTATATCTCCCAAAGAAGTTCTCCTCCCATAGAAAAGAACTCCATCTACGAGAGTGATGATTTAATGCATCTGGTTCAATCTGACATTATCCAAAGAAAATATTCCATGGGTGTTTCTTCTGAGTGAAACGGTTTCCTTATCTGAATAAGAAAATATTTTCCAATCATTTACGTGAATTCTGAGTATGCAACTGTTAAACATTTTAGCAGAAATAAATCACTTTTGCTTTTCTTTTCTAGCATTCTTATTTTACTGTGCCTGATACCAGAGAACTTCCCAGCATCCCTGAGAATGTAAGTACTTGGGAAGAAAAAATTAAATTTTTATTCTTCTCTGTTTTCTACTTATTTGTTTTAATAAATAAAGGATGTGATTTAAAGTATAATTACAAAAATTATGATTTTTAAAAACAACACATTATAAAAACAAAAATAGAACTGAAGTGTATTATAAAAACAAAACAAATAGAGAATATTTGCAAAGTATAGAAAGTATAAAGACTGAGGGATTGTTATTCCTATTTCTCAAAGGTAATTATATATTAATATGATATTTAATTCCCTCTTTTTAGAATGTATTTTTACATAGTTAAATCACCTATTATAAAAACATCTTTTCCATTTTCATTCACGTGACTTATTTTTGTCAACTATGTAATATTCTATTTACTCTGTAGTTTATTTAGCCATTCTCTCACTGTAGAACATTTAGATTGTTTCGCATTTCTGCTATTATAAGTGAAATGTTTCCATATAAAGAATTTTCCAAATAGAGGTTTATTAGGGTAGATCAACTCAAGCAGAATTACACTTCTACTTCTTACCCTTGTATATTTATCTTTCAGAGAATAAAGTATTTGTGGGTAAAGTATGAGGGCCTCCATCCCTACCTCCAAAGGACATAGGAGCAGTGAACTAGAGTGTGAGAGAGCAGAAGGTTGATGTTTGCCTTCTGAACAAGCTGAATGACATATCTAGTCTAGCGCTTGACATGTTTTCAAAATGTTTTACTATGATTATAAATAGTACTATGTAGAATCAGATAAAGAATGTCTACCACTTAGACACTTGATTACTTTTTTTAAATTGTGGTAACAAATACATAACATAAAATTTGCCATGTTAATCATTTTTAAGTGTACAACTCGGTAGTTTTGAATGCATTCATATTTTGTACAGTCAATGTCCAGAACTTTTTGTATCTTACAAAACTGAAACTCTGTACTCATTAAACAATTCCCCATTACCCTATCTCTGCAACCCCTGGCAACCATCAATCTGCTTTTTGTCTCTATGAATTTGACTACTCTCCATATAGTACTTCACGTAAGTGAAATCATACAATATTTGTCCTTTTGTTCTGAGTTATTTCACTTAGCGTAATGCCTTCAAAGTTCATCTGCATTGAACTATATGTCAGGATAGCCTGCCTTTTTGAGGCTGAATGATATTCCATTGTATGTATAGACCACATTTTGCATATCTGTTCATCCAGCAATAGATGCTTGTATCAGTAGATATTGTTTTTACCCTTTGGCTGTTATTAATAATACTGCTTTGAACATTGGTGTACAAATGCCTGGTTGAGTCTCTGCTTTCAATTCTTTTGGGCGTATACTTGAATACTTGATTAGAAAACTACTGGAATATGTGGTATACCTTTTCATAACTACTGTAGATTCACAGAAAGGAAAGTTTTCTAAGGGTTGTCTATAGAACAGATTACAAATGTCAGGTGATCAAATGTAACGAATGAAGTTAGGCTGTAGTATTGTGATTAGATAACAGTCTTGATAAGTTGGGATTATCAAGCATATCCATGTAGTATATTATCTGTATGATCAGACTGGTGGAAAATATTGCATCCTTTTCGTTTGACATTAATTAATAAAAAATTCAGACCAGAGTTCCCATTTCAGCAACAATAGATAACGTTGATTGAGTACTACTACTCGAAATATGGTATATTTGGTACTTTTCTCCATTTTCACATTTAGCTCTCTCAACAAGCTTACATGGTAACTACCATAATTATTTAATATAAGGAAACAGAAGCCCTGAAAATTTAAGTCACATATTCAAGATTCTACAGGAAATAAATGGTAAAGTCAGAATTCAAGTGTTGGTCTTTCTGGATTCTTGAGACTGAGCTCTTACATACTGTGCTATACTTTGAGCCCCTGATTTTTACCTTTCGTCTCTCAGAAAATTCCATTGAAATGATAAGCAAAAGGAGAAAACTATTTCCCTAATGACAGAGGAAGCTACCATGAGCCAGAAAGTTTGGGAATTTGCATAATATAAAGGAGATGATTACTGATAGTTGCAGTCAATTCAGTATAGACAGTGGAGAAATCCAAAAAGAAGTGGGAAAGTAGTGCAGGAAGAGCAGAAGCAGAGGCTGTGAAGGAGGCTACTGAAGGATTATTTTAAAATGCCGTGGGACTTTTACAAGAATTGATCATGTACTAAATCATACCAAAAATTTCAAAATAGAGCGTGTTAAACTCTCACAGGTCACTGTCTTTTATAGCAGTGAACGAAAACTATAATAATAATTAAAGGTTTAAAAATATTCATCTATTTGAAATAGCAGTTGGATCAAAGATGATAAAAATTGAAATTAGTTATTATTTAGAAATTAATGACAATGAGGACACTAAACAAGTACCTTAGGGATGTGGCCAAAACCACACTCTGGAGAAAATTCATAGCTTTGAATGTTTTTATATAAATAAGAAATTTAGAAAACAATGAACTTGACTTTCAAGAAGCTTAAAAAAAAAAAGAATAGTAATAAAAAATAACCAAAACTAGAAAAAGAAATAGTAATTTAATTTATTAGGGAACATTGTTAAAGTAAAATTGAAGAATAGTACTTTTTAAAAATTGAATTTGTGAAAAGAATAAAATTTTAAACTTATTTGATAAATTTAAAGATTGTGAAAAGAGAAAATTTCTAGAAAAAGACAGATGATAATTGGCTTGAGAAATAGGCAATATAAATATAGAATGATAATTTGAAAAGATTAATAAAGCTATATTGCAATCTCCATCCTTCGAAAAATCTATCAGGTTTAGGTGGTTATATAGGTGTTTCAGGAACAGATAACTATTACTTAAATAGTACCAAATCATAGGAAAGGTATGTGTGTATGTATATCATACAGCAGTGAAAGAAAAATCAAGCATAATCCCCCATCTCAGAGATCTATTTCTGAGTTTTTTCATCCTTCCTTTTTATGACATGTAGTTTTCAAACTGTGCCACCGGGAACCCCAGTGTTGCTTTGGGAGCCCTGGAAGGCCTCACAGGTAGATGGCTAACTGATCAGAGCATTGGATCCCTGCTCCTGTTTTATTCAGAGCAGGTTAATTTCCATTGCTTACATTGGGGGTTGAGTAATACTTTGTTTGAGACAAAAGTATTCTTTTAATTTTTTTGTTAAGTTTTGAAAGTTACATTTTTAAAAGCACACAAAATGTATACACTTTGTATCTATTTTTCTTATAACAATGTACTATGAACATCTGTCTATGTCATTAAAAATTCTTCACAAATATTTTGTTGAAAAAAATTAATACGAATACATAGAGAAAAAAATGAAAGGCCCCCATTACCACCATCCGTCCCAACCCCAATCCCACTCTCCCTCAAGTGTCTGATGAAACCTTTCTCTAGGAATTTAGTGTCATATGTGTGAGTACCTGTGTGTGTTGTAGATGATTTTTAAACATAAATATGATGCTATTTTTTGGTTTAATGTATTCTAAAAGGTGTTCATATCTACCTGCTTCATCCTTTTTAATGATATACTTATTTAGTGGTATTTTTATTCTTATGAAAGTAATGCGTATTAATGGCTTTAAAACATGTAGTACTACATAGTTGTTGATGACAACCAGCAATTTTCAAGTTGCCCAGCTACTTTCAAGTTTTTAGCAGCTGTGTTTCCCTCTGCATTTTTGAATAACTTATTCATATTGCTAAATCTTAATTTTTTTTCGGTTACAGATATCACATTGATTTTCCTATAGAAGATGAGTTTTGGTCTTTTACCATCTATAACCCTCCCCACCCCGAAACACACAGAATAGCCTTCTCTCAGTCACATATTTCCCCTCTCCCATTCTTTCTATACCTTTAGAGCATTTTTACATTAAATCAGAAGTTACTGTTTACATTTTAATGAGCATGCTGAAGCAGTTAGTAGATTACCTTTCCTTATACAACTTTTTGTCACATAAGCGTTCTTGGGTTTCACATATTTCTCATTCTTGATTTTATTCCCTCGTTTTGGTGAAACATGTGCCAGTAGTTTTCTTGAGAAAGTACTTGTTAGAGGCAACATTTTTAGACCTAGCATGACTAAAAAGAACTTCCTTCTTCTTTTTTTGAGACAGAGTCTTGCTCTGTCGTCCAGGCTGGAGTGCAGTGGCACAATCTCTGCTCACTGCAAACTCCACCTCCTGGGCTCAAGCGATTCTTCTGCCTCAGCCTCCCAAATAGTCATGGCTACTGGTACCCATCACTATGCCTGGCTAATTTTTGTATATTTTAGTAGAGATGGGGTTTCACCATGTTGGCCAGGCTGGTTTTGAACTCCTGACCTCAAGTGATGTGCCTGCCTTGGCCTCCCAAAGTGCTAGAATTAACAAGCGTGAGCCCAGTTTCTTTATTCTTCTTTTGATAGTTTGACTGGGTGTGGAACTCTAGGTTGGAAATTACTGTATCTTCCAAACTTTGAAGATGTTTCTCCACTGACTTCTAGCTTTGCTGTTGCAACTAAGAAGTCTCAGCCATTCTGATTCCTGTGATTTATTTATTGTAACCATCCTTTGATGGTCTCTCTTGGTATCCTGAAATTGCAGTGATGTGCCTTGCTAGGGGCCTGTTTTCGTCTACTGTGCAGGGCACTTGGTGGTTCCATTTAATCTGGAAACTCATGTCCTTTAGAGCTGAGAACTTTTCTCACATTATTTCTTTGAAAAAATACTCTTCATTTTTCTTTCTTTCTCTGGGGCCTCTGTGATAGAATGTTAAATCTCGTGTACTGCTCCTCAAATTTTCTTGTTTTTTCTCTCCTATTTTCCATCTCTCTCTTTTAGTTTTCTCTCCACTTTCTTCAGCGAATCTTTCCACCTTTGGAAATTTACTTCTGCCATTATATTAATATTTTCACTCATCTGTGAGACTGTTATTTATAGATTTTAAAAATTGTTCTTCTCCTTGTATTATTTTCTTGCTTAATATTCCTATCTTCTGTTTGTTTTGTTCCATGACTTTCACCGTAG